AAAAAAAAAAAAAAAAAAGGAAGAAGGGAAGGAAGGAAGAAAGGAAGGCGAGCAGGCGGCAAAGCTTTCTTTACGCTGTAACATAGGGACGGGACTTGTGTGTGTTCTCGGTAGTTTCCGCTGTTTGATGAGGGTTTTTTTTTTTGTGTGTCAGCCCCAGATATTACAGCTGTGATCAGGAGGTGGATGGATGGATGGATGGATGGATGGATGGATGGATGGATGGATGGAGGGGTGGATGGACAGATAGATCTTTTTTATTTCAGCGCGCGGATCCCTTTCGCGTGGCGGTATTAAGGGCAGGCTGGGCTGTTTCTGGTTTTTTTAACAGACCTTTATGGCACCAGCCCAAGGTAGGAAAGGATCTTTTGTTGCTGGGGTTGCAGCTTGCAGGCTGAGACGCTTCTGCAGGGGGAGAAGCTATGCAGGACAGCGTGCTTGGAAGAACCGCAGCCGGGGTTTTAAATGACAAACCTCCAGTTTTGGGGTCTTCTTTTCACTTCTTCCTTTCAGATACGTCATGACGGATCAAACAGTTACCGTTTGATGCAGCTTGGATGCCTGGAGTCCGTGGCCAACTCGACCGTCGCCTATTCTTCCTCGTCTCCTCTCACTTATTCTACCACGGGCACCGAGTTCGCCTCCCCGTACTTCTCCACTAACCACCAGTACACCCCACTGCACCACCAGTCCTTCCACTACGAGTTCCAACACAGCCACCCGGCAGTCAACCCCGACGCTTACTCCTTGAACTCTCTCCACCACTCCCAGCAATACTACCAGCAGATCCACCATGGGGAACCCACTGATTTTATCAACCTGCACAATGCGCGGGCGCTCAAATCCTCCTGCTTGGACGAGCAGAGGAGAGAGCTGGGGTGCTTAGATGCTTACCGCCGCCACGACCTGTCTCTTATGAGCCATGGGTCCCAATATGGGATGCATCCAGATCAAAGACTCCTGCCAGGACCAAGCCTCGGGCTTGCAGCCTCGGGAGCAGACGATTTGCAGGTAAATAGCATGCGATCTCCTTTCGAGGCACCTTCTTCTCCCCTCCCCCTGCCCCGGTCCACCCTCCCCCCCCCACCCTCCCCATTTTCCTCTGCTCAGAGCAGCTCTCGTGTAGCTCATACAAAGAAGGGAAACTTCATCC